GATATATTCATTTCGCATTTTGTCTCTAAGTGTAAAGCCACTCATCCACCCAATCATTCTCATCTCGGCAACACTTAACTTAGTTTCATGTTTCTCTTTTAAAGGCCAACATTCAGTGCCACAGAGCATTGCAGGTTTCACCACTGTCTTATAAAAATTTCCTTTTAATCAAAGAGATATTTTTGTCTTAGCGGCACTTTTCTATCACAGAATAGGGCCAACACATTCCTCCACTTCAACCAACCCCTTAGCGGTTCTTTTCTATCACACAATAGGGCCAACACATTCCTCCACTTCAACCAACCAACTTTAATTCTAATAATAACATCCCCATATATATCATCGTCCCTTTGAGCAATGTACCCGAGAGATCTAAAATGTTCATTCTTTTTAATGATTTGATCACCTATTATTACAACTCTATCTCTGAATCTACTACTACTAAAATTAAATTCCATGTATTCATTTTTTGATCTACTCAAACGAAGGACTTGTAGAATCTAAGGTAGACCTCCATAATTCAAGTTTTTCCAAAGTTTTTTCTCGTCTTATCAATGAGAAGGATATCATCAGCAAAAAGCATACACCAAGGTCCATCCTCCTGTAAGTGTCTAGTAAGACAATCCATAACTAAATCAAAAGAATATGGGATTAAAGGAGGTTCCTGATGTAAACCAACATAAATAGGAAAATATTTAGTCAATCCTCCTGTTTGAACACAAGTAACACCTCTTGTAATCATATCTTTAATGACTTAAGTATAAGTCATATCAACACCTTTCTTCTCAAGAACTCTCCAAAGGATATATCTTGGAACCTTACTGTAAGCTTTTCTAAATCAATGAAAATCAACTTCTCCACCAAACCTCTCAATAAATGTATAGCTTTTATAGTAGGCTTGCCTGACATAAATCCAATTTGATTATAAGCAATTTTTGTAATGCGTCATAACCTATTTTCAATTACCCTCTCCCATAATTTTAGAGTATGACACATCAACTTAATTCATCTATAATTTGCACACTCTTTATTTTTAAAAATGGGGACCAAAATACTATTCCTCCGCTCCTCAGACATCTTTTTGGTTTTTAAAATAATATTAAAGAGTTTAGTAAACGAAGAAACTCCCAAATCTCCTAGATATTTCCACACTTAAATTGGGATATCAAGTCCTACTGACTTTCCATAATTGGTTTTCTTTAAAGCCTCATCAACTTCTTTTTTACTAATGTGATGATAGAAACGAAACATTTTATTATTATTAATCATATTAAGATCACTAAGGTCGATCATATTTTATGAAACTTCATTAAAAAAATTATCAAAATAACTCACCCAATTATTTTGAATATCTTTTTCTAAGAAAAGCACTTTCTAGTTTTAACTTCAATAAGAAAATTATCAAAATAACTCACCCACTTATTTTGAATATCTTTTTCTAAGAAAAGCACTTTCTAGTTTTATCTTTATTACACTTGAGTTTAATCTTCACTTTTCTTTTCTTTTTGTTTGGCTAGTTTATACATATATTTTTCACTCTTCTTAATATCTAATCTATTATAAAGATCACTAAAAAAAAATTTTTAGCATCATGGATTGTTCTCTTAGAGTCCCTACGAGCTGTTTGATATTTTTCCCAGCCCACTATAAACATTCTTAGAAAAAGAAAAAATCTTAATGCAGTAATTTAATCAAATTGTGCATTTGATAGAGCACACAAAACATTTGCTCACTATAATTATGGTTCTCATAGGAAACTCAGTCCTCAACCTATCTATATACAATACATTAAACCCAAATAAGAGAAAAAAATCACTCATCTGAACTTTCAAAATTAACAAGCAATTAGTGCAACATTTCAAAATGAAGCTCCCTGATCTTTATTTATATATATATATATAAGCATGTAAAAATCAAATGAAAAGCTGAGATCAATTGATTTGACTAATGCATGGTGTTGTGACAGAGGAAGGACGTCCAGTTAAGATACTCAAATTGGGAAGGATCTCAATTTCAAGACGAAGCCCCATTGAATTCCTTTGTTATTTAGACTGCAAGTAAAAGAGAGCTAAAAAAATGCATTTATATTTTAAATATATTATATATAAGTGAAAAGTCAGAACACATAAGAAAAGATTTAAATGATAGAGAGATTACAATTACAACAACAACAACAACAACAACAACAAGCCTTTATCCCACTAAGTGGGATCGGCTACATGAATAATTTTCTCCATTACAACCTATTGAGTGTCATATTTTAATTTAATTATAATAAATTAAGATCATTTTTTATACAACAGTCCCAAGTCTTTTTAGGTCTACCTATGCCTTTCTTAACATCAGTCAAAGCTAAAACATCTACTCTTCTAACCAGATCACCAGATGGTCAACATTTAATGTGACCAAACCATCTAAGACGACTCTCTAATCTAGTCCGCCACCTGAGCTATATCAACCCTATCATGGATATATTCATTTCGCATTTTGTCTTTAAGTGTCAATACATTCATCCAACTAAGCATTCTCATCTCAACAACACTTAACTTTGTTCTATGCTTCTCTTTTAAAGGCAAACATTCTACAAACATTCTACACCATAGAGCATTGCAAGTTCCACTACCATCTTATAAAATTTTCCTTTCAGTTTAAGCGGTACTTTTCTATCACACAATAGGCTCGAAATATTCATCCGCCTCTACTAAAAACATCCCCATCTATATCACTATCACTTTGAACATTAGACCCGAATATCTAAAACGTTCACACCTATTAATGATTTGATCACCCATAGTTACAACTATGACACTAGAGCTACTATTACTAAAATTACATTCCAAGATCCGGTTTTAGTTCTACTTAAATGAAGGCCTTTAAACTACAATGTAGAGCTCCATAATTCAAGTTTTTCTTAGACTCTTTCTCTAGTCTTATCCACAAGAAGGATATCATAAGTGAAAAGCATACACCAAGGTGCATCCTCCTGTAAATGTCCAGTAAGCACATTCATAACTAAAGCAAGAGGAAATGGGCTTAAAGTCGATTCCGGATCTAATCTAACTGAAATAGGAAAATATTGGTCAATCCTCTTGTTCGAACACAAGTAACAACTCTATTATACATGTCTTTAATGACATGAATAGAAGTAATATCAACGCCTTTTTTCTCTAGAACTCTCCAAAAGACTTCTCTTGGAACCGTATCATAAGTAGGACTGTCAAAATGGTTCATTGTTTGCGAAAAACTCGTGTTGGACTCGTTAAGCAACTTGTGTTCGGCTCGTTCGTAAAGCTAAAAACAAATTTTTAAGCTCGAATATAAACGAGCTGGATATGAACAAATATTTTCTCGCTCGTGTTCGGCCCAAATTGACTAAAAAAAAATAATTAATTAATAAATAAAAATATAAATATACTCAATATTTTGCGGTGTTACACCACGGAATAACACCGAGTAACACCCGCTGTGATATGTATTATTCCGTCGTCCGCAGTGTTATTGGTGTGATCGGTGTTATTCTGCGGTGTAACACCAATAACACTGCGAAATAACACCAATAATAAGAGAATAATAACACGGAATAACAACGAGCCTATTTCGAGCCTAACACGAACAAGAATATGTTATTTGAGCCCGAAATAACACCAATAACACTGTGAAATAACACCAATAATACGAGAATAATAACACAAAATAACAACGAGCCTATTCCGAGCCTAACACGAACAAGAATATGTTATTTGAGCCGAAAACAATCACAGTGTTCACGAGCTAAATTTGAACGAGCCGAACACGAGTTGAGGCTCAGCTCGCTCAAGCTCGACTCGTTTACAAAGCTTTCTCTAAATCTTATTCTCTCTGTACTTCTCCATCAAACCTCTCAATAAATGTATAACTTCAAAGTAGACCTGCCCAACTTAAATCCAAACTGATTATGAGAAATCTTTGTATCACGTCTTAACCTATGTTTAATTACCCTCTCCCATAATTTTAAAGTATGGCACATCAATCTAACTCTATAATTAACACTCTCTTGTGCATCCCTTTTGTTCTTAAAAATAAGGACCAAAATACTCTTCCTCCACTTCTCAGAAATCTTTTTAATTTTTAAAATAATATTTAAGAGTTTAGTAAGCTAAAAAACTCTGAAATCTTCTAAATATTTC